ACAGAAAGAAAATTGTTCTCAACACGAAAATGAAATTGAACAAATTGTTTTTAATTTCATTCATTTCATTACTCTTGGAGAGGTATGTAGCATATATTTTAACTATATTTACTTACATTTACATATAAAAAAGAAAAAAATCTGATTTCTGTCACCTGGACTTAAGTTTCAAGTGTGAAGATGAGTGGTGAAGCAGAATGTATAAATGAATGAATGGTGTAAATTTACACCATATTAGTCACAAAATCATATATTATTTAAGTTAAATTTTGTCATTTTAATTTACAGGAAGACCCAAAACATCCGTATTCTTCTAATCAGCTGCTAGGAGACTGGAAAAAGGCGTTCACCACCAGTGTCCCAACCGTGGTTAAAGTGGACAGCGTTGAGGTGTGCCGTTGTTCCGGCGTTGAAGATGGAGTCATCGCTGCATTCTGCGCATACTTCATTTTCAACATTCAGTATACACACTGCCTCAAGAACACTTTGAATTTCCTCCAAAGATACATTGCAAAAATACCACTGGAGGAAGACCAACCTTTGCCAATAACTGTGAGCCGCAAAATTACTTTATTGATACTTTATTGATGCCACAGCCATACTATTGTCCAAAATGTTCTGCAGAGTATTCACAATAACTAAATTAATCCAGCACATTGGACTAATCCATGCCCATGAGCCCAACTTCCAAATTTCTTGAGGGATTCATAAGTGTTGTTTGTCTTTCAAAATATTTGAATCTTTTATACAGCACGTATATCGCAAACATATTAAGGGTAATCCTATAAATGTGTTTCTCAAGTGACTGAAATGTGTTAAGTATGCAGTGCATGTCTTCATTATTGGTTTGTTGCATTCTGAAAGGATTCCACTGTTCCTAAAAATCAAATACATTTTTAACATTGATACAGAGTGGGTTCTATTGTGGAATTATTTTATTTCCTTTTAAGTTTTGAACACCATTTATTTGCCTACTCGGTCAGGATGGATGAGAATTGGACTTTGATTAGACCAGGAGAAGAAGTAGGTCATCAGGTATATGTTTATTCTGCTGACAACACGTTTCTGTCCCTTCGACATTGTGTTTGAAACATTGAATACGTTGAATTTGTTTGCACAATATTTTTTTAAATAAATGTAAGATGAATTGAATTCAATTTGTTTTTATAGCCTTATTAATATACAGTACAAAAATGTTTAATCCATAAAAGGAACAAAATTGTACCTTTTTCTAAAAGGTACAATTTTGTTCAAAGAAGGTACATAATTGGTTTAGGTAAGGTACAGAATTGCCACTAACAAGGTACACAATTGTCCAGGTAAGGTACAATATACAAGGGTACATAAATGTACCCCATATTAGGGGTACATATTTGTCCTTGTGAGGTGTCTGCCCCAGTGACAAGCGATTGTACTCCTATGAGGACAAATCTGTACCTTTATTTCTGAGAGTGTAGGTTGGTCAAGTGTCTCATGTCAATGTCTCAATTGGATCTCTTTCTCTTTGAGACCTTCTCAGCACTGAGTTGGACACTTCTGTATTGGTAATATTTCCAGTTGTATACTGTCCCTTTCAGTGTCCTGTGTTGGAATGGTGTCCATGGTAAACTCCTCAGCATTTGCTCTGAGATCACGAGTGTCCATTGTCAACTCAGTATACTCGGGCTGATCTGGTTGGCGTCCCACAGAGGTTGCAACTGACTACTCAGACAAGTCCCGTCGGTTGTGACACCTCAATCTATAGGTCCAGTATTGCTCCTCTTCATCTGTGCTTCCTCATGCTCAGATGTGTAACTCACATTTCTTTGGTTTGGCTTGTGCTATTTAGTGTAAGTTGGTTCTGTTCTCATCTCCGGAGGGAGTGGCAATGCATTGCAGGGCATCAACATGTTGCGATGGAGAATGCGACCACGTCCTGTGCCACACTCTGGTTTAATCTCATAGACAGGGCTATTTTGTCCTTTTTGAGACACCACAACATGGACCTGTTCCTCCCAGTATGAGCCTTCCCTGGCCCTCCCCTCTCTGACATGTTCCTGACAAGAACCCTGCCACCAGGTGATAGTACAGCACAATATTTTTCCTCTTGTCACAGTCTTTATGATGTTTTTTGATGCAATGCCATATGCTTCTTTCATTTGTTGCCATTTTCTTGCATATTCCTCTTGCGTTTTACATCCTGTGGAGGATTGTAGCACTTAGAATAAGTGTGTAAACTTTTCTTTAATATCATAGAAATAATTGTCCTTTATTAAACACATACAAATAGTTAATGTAACGGTATTGTGTTGAAATACATCAGTTAACAGGGAGCGTATGAGATCCCAGGTAACGCGTGCAGCCCCTGGTACATAACTGAAGTTTTAAAAAAAAGCTGTTGTACTGAAGGACTTGTCATTTTGATCAGCTGCTGTCTGCTTGTGCTGTTCTTTCCGTTGTGTTCTCCGGAGACATTAAAGAGCTCATTTTTCCACACCAAGTTGTCAGAGTGGTGTAACACATGGACAGGTACTTTGGACGTGAAGAGTGGCACGTTGCTTGGAGGATGTGATGTGTCTCTTCATTAGAGTGTCCTAAGCTTGTTGCCGGTCCTCTTCAGTCCTCAGCAGAAGGAGCAGTTTGGAGAAGAATGGAGGGTTGTCTCGCTTCTCTTCCGACTGCAGCTTACCGATGATTACGTCGTCCCAGTAGCTCGAGGACTTCTCACCAGGGTCTTGAAGAGTGGTGACATGTAAGGGGTGTATGTTTACATCTGCCAACCACAACTCAATGTGGGATCGCCATGTTTCATTTTCAGTTTAATTTGCGGATTTGGGTTCTTTTCCAGAGAATGGGCGGAGTCTGATGCTGGGAATAGATTGTGATGTGAATTCTCTAGCTCTCACAATGTGCTCCACCACTACCTCTGTACTTGTAGTGGATTCGTGTCTTCCGGATTGAGTAGTCAAAGCTGGTCCTCTGGTACAGAACCACTTGTAGCTCCTGCTTCTGTATGTAGCAGTACCCCAGGCTGTCCAGGCGAAGGATGTACAGGGTTTTCCCGTGTCTGCGGCTGGTCTCTGTGTCCACCAGGGGGCTCCACCCTCTCCAAGGGTTCACTTATCTGGAACATTTCATTTCATAATGTCAATAATTGTGAATAATTGCCATATCTTATATAATTATCTATATATAATCTTATATAATTATCAAAATAATTATGACTAAAACATTTGAAATCGTGGAAACCCTAGACTCCACGCAAGATCTCACCATGTGGGGTCAAAATGATCACAAGAATGGTGAGCAAAAATCCCAGAACCACACGGGGGGACCTACAGAATGACCTGTGTAGAGCTGAGGCCAAAGTAACAAAGGTTACCATCACTAACACAATACGCCGCCAGGGACTCAAATCCTGCAGTGTCAGACGTGTCCCCTGCTTAAAGCTGGACTACCTCACTTTATTTTCTGTATTTATTAGGGAAATTTAACCCATATCCATGCATGCAGTGCGTTGGGATTCTTATACATCTTATATAAGAATAATAAGATTTCTGCCATAGAGCAGTGTGGACTCACCACCTGCAGGAGGATCAGTGAGGGGCTGGAGCTATGTGTACTGGGTGGCATCTCTGGCCACCCCCGACCTAGAAATGGATTAAGGGGCAGACAATGGATGGATGGAGGTTTGTACTGAAGTGTAATTTCTAATTTTTGTGCAACGCGAAAGAGAATTTGTTTTGGGACCAGATTGTGACCAATCACAGCGGACCACTAGCCCCACTTTTTGGAGATAAGCTACAGGTCTCTTGTTAGCGCGCACAGACAGCTGAGATAAACAAGCGTCATGGCAGAGGTGAACCTGAAACATCCCGTGTCTTCGTTACCGATTACTGCTTACTCGGCGAAACAGCCAATAGAAAGTCTCGTCCTTCCCCGTTCTTTTCTGTATAACATTGCTCTGCTCTGAATTGAAATCTATTTTACTAGTAATGTGCTAAATATCTTTTATATTGAAGACACTAATAACTCACCTAAAAAACAAAAACGTGTTTCAACCACTATCTCTTTCTTCGTCCTCTACTGCTCCTTTAGACACCATGTAGCTGAAGTGTTGTACTGTATGTGCCCTCTTGTGCAACAACAACAAAAAATCAATTGAAAAATAAACAACAAATCAATCCCCAGGGGCTGGGGTGTACTTATAAACTGGGGGTTGACCATAGATAGGAGGTGGGACATAGATGGAGCATCCCACGATTTTAATCATTCCAGTTAATAATGAAAATGTAACGATGCAAATATTAAGGTCTTTATACAACTAAATACTTGCTGCATTTGATAAAACAAGTGAAACAAACTCAAAGGGCGTGACTCACCCACTGCCTCCAAGAAGCGTTTCTCGAAGCTGGCTCATGTACACCCTCCATGTTGTAGGCCCCTGGAAATGTTTGGCTAAAGTGGCCCTCTTACTATAGAAAAACAACATAGAAATCTGTGTCAATATTATCCTTGAAATACACTGAAAGTAATGACAATAACTGTTTTGAACTGAATGAAGGAGGCTTTTCTTCAGGTCAAAAACTTGATATACGTCAATGGTACAAGTGTGTGTAGCACTGAATACAAAACTATTGTACAGGTAATGTGCTATCTATTATATAGAAGAGAAAATAACTCACCAAAATACAAAAACGTGTTTCCTTGACAGTTGCTCTGAGCACAGAAATCTACACAAAAATTATCTCAAAAATCATAAAAACAATTCTATTACTGAAATCATAAAGTTTTGTAAAGTGGCTGGATTTTTTTTTTTTCTTTCAATGAGTTTTTGTTTTTTGTATTATTTGGGGATTGGGATTAATTTCTTCCCGGGGTTGTTTTTGAGTTGTTAAGGGTTAACAAAACTATGCCCTTCTTGTCTACAACCTGGAATTTCGGGTTTGGCACTGGTTGCCTGACAGGAGGTGTAGAAGGCTAAGCATTTGTGGAGGTCGATGGTTGGGCTACAGTTGGTGTCACCGGGATACCAGGTGGGTTCTGGTGGACCATGTTATCCACACGGGCCGGGGTGTGGACACATACAGGGGGTGTACCATACACTGGGGGTCGGCCATAGACTGGAGGATGACCATAGGATGGAGGTTGGCCGTAGCACTGAGGTTGACAATGGACTGGAGGATGACCATAGCACTGAGGATGACCATAGACCGGAGGTTGACCATAGGTTGGAAATTGCCCATGGATCGGGGGTTGGCCATACATAGGAGGTGGGACATAGCCGTTATAAACGGGGCCTGTAGCATGAAAGTGTTTTTTCCTGCTAACGTTGTCTTTAGGGGACCAATCAGGGTATTTGGCCTGGTGCTCTCTCTTGAGCACTCGGGCTTTCTCATAGTACGGAGCTTGTTCTGCCTCAGATAGCTCGCCCCATCTCTCGCCGAGGATGGTGTTGACTTCTGCTGAGTTGGTAATGCCAAGCTCCTGCATGATGGCTCCTCTCTGCTCTGCTCTGTAAATCATGAAGGCGTTCAGAGGTTTCTTGATATACGGCCTCCCAGCGTCATCTGCATCCCGCTTCCTCTTCCTATTGTAAAAAATGTATGTGAAAGGAAAGTAACTTGATAATATTGATTTGGAAACAAACTGACTCAAGATGAGAACTATTAAATTGCTACTTACCTTGAAGGGACATTTCCAGCCGTTGCTTGGGATGTATAGAAAACCGGTTGCTTTGCCTGGAACATTGCTGGTCCATGGATCATCGCTGGACAATGACGTGTTGGTCCAGTGGAGGGGACAGGCACGAGTTTTGGTCCAGGGATCATCATGTATAAAGGGAGAGACGGTTGAGAGGAAGTTGCCCTGTCCTGTGGAGAGGCATGGGCCATTCGGGAGTAAGGAGGCCTTTGAGCAGGGTAGAAGGTCTTTCGTGGGGCAGGTCCAAGTGGACGGTGTGAGACCTCTCTTGTCGTGGCTGGAGAACGTTCCAGTGTCGACTGCTCCGAGTTGTCAGTTTGAGACTCGGGGGTTGAGGCAGGTGCAGGTGACCCATGCAGCTCACTGAGCAGGTCTGGTGAGGCAGGACCATCGCTGTGCAACAACTGGGCCTCAACAAGGGCTACCATAGCATCCAGAGCCTCTTCTGAGGGATTCATGTTGGATGTCTATAAAACAAACACATTTTACTACAAGTACTTGCGACCAGTTAGCATTTGGTAGCCTTTCAACAAAGTGCATTTGCTAGATTTAAAGTTATATTCATCAGTTTTAGCACTTAGTGAAAGTGAGTAAACGTAACAAACCTTATACATTACTTACTTTTAATACATCTGTCAAATTGTTTTAAAAAACTTAAAACATTTTGGGGGAAATTTTTCAGAATTATATAGGTTTGAATGAGAGTAGTCAAAATGACGGCTCTGGGAGTTCTATTAATTTCATAGTTGTGGGAGTTCTCGTGTTATACAACTAAACATATGCTGCATTTGATAAACAAACTCACATGGAATAACTGGGCCTCAACAAGGGCTGCCATAGCATCCAGATCCAGATCCTTTTCTGATGGATTCATGCCTGATGCCTGTAAAACAAACAACAAATTTTGATAAAAATGACATTCCACACCTTTCTGCATTTTAAAGCTATATTACAGTTTTTTCTGTTGGCTTGGCTCCCAAAGCCCCTGCTGAAAGATCAAGGCTATACTCTCACACACAGAGCAGCCACCCTTCTGTGGACTGACCACCTGCAGGAGGATCGGCCAGCCCAGAAATGGATTAAGGGGAAGAAAATGGATATAAGAAAATACATACACATACATGTAAAAGTAAAATTGTAAAACTCAATTGGTGTTAAAAGCCAAGGCATAAAATGTGGTTTTAGACTAGATTTAAAAACTGTCAATGAACTGAGGTAGACTATTACACAGTTTTAGGGCAGCAACAGAAAAGTCTTGGTCTCCTCAAGTTTTGAGACGAGACCTGGGCCCATTCTACAAAAGCTGGTTATCTGACCGGAGCATACAGGGATAACAGCTCCGACAGAAATGCAGTGGCCAAACCATTAAAAAATTTAAAAACAAGCGTCATAAGTTTAGAATTGACCCTGAATGTAACAGGGAGCCAGTGAAGTAAAGCAAGCACAGGGGTGATGTACTCTCTCTTACGTGTCCCTGTGAGCAAGCGAGCAGCAGCATTCTGCACCTGCTGGGGGCACTTTAATGAGCTGAAGTCCAGGCCACAGTGCAGCATGTTACAATAATCTAACCTAGATGAAACAAAAAGGTGGCTATCTCGCTCAAAGTCAGTGGGTGGGATGTAGGCCTTCACTTTGACCCGGAGGTCTTGAGCAAAGTGGTGGTGCAGCCACTGCTGTGACCTGAAGTGCTGTTTCTTATTCTCACTATGACTATTGTTAGCTTTTTAGAATGATCATTGTATTTGTTTTGTCTGTGTGGATGGGTGTGTTTTTTCTGCTACTGGACACCTGAATATTTCCTATGGGGATGAATAAAGTATCTATCTATCTGATAGAAACTGGCTTTGATTTCTGAACGTATTAGCTTGTCCATCCTGAAGGTGCTATCGAAAATAACACTTAAGTTTCTAGCTGAGGACTCAGAACAGCAACAGGAAGTAACAGAATAGGATATTGGCTCTCATTATAACAGTCAAGGAAGAGAAGTAGAGAATAGAGTATGGCATAGTAAAAATCAGCATACACATCTAAGGTTTAAAAATTGAAATTGTTCCAATTTACTATATGCAATATACACTGTGCACACAATTTGCATTAAGCAGTGCAGAGCTGTCGTGCAGTAAAGTGACAGCAGTAAAGTGGCTTTATAAAGGGCAATAAAGTGGCTTATAAAGAACGGCACAAAATTAATACATTTTGGGCAAGCCATATTATTACTTCCCGGAGACAATCTAGCAGTGTTGTCATTGACACTGAGGTGCGTTTTGAAGGCAGGTAGATCTGCAGGTCATCAGCATAAGCATGAAAGGAGAGATTGTGAATATTGTCAAGTAGCAGCATAAACAAAGAAATGAGTCAAAGAAACAACCAATCCAAAATGAATATTACTGATGCTAATTATATTAATGGTATATATCATTGGTAAATGTGAGATTAAAGTTGAAATAAGACACAGCTATCTACAATCAGACCTAATCCGGCGCATGTAGAAAACATGCAGATTCTTTGTAAATCAATGATGAAAATTGCTACTCACCAGTCGTTCTCAGAGAGAAATGTTCAAACGAAGTATTTGGAAACTTCAAAATAACTTTTGAACCAAAAGCTGTGGAGTGATCAAAATACGTGCTAAATCCGTCGCTGTCCAGAGACTAAATGAACATTTAGTTTGAAAAGAGGCATATGTAGCTATGTTCAATGTTCCAGAAGGTGACATCAGAATCGGCGTCACTATAACCGTGGTGACTGTCCTCACCATGACGACAGCTATCTTCTGAAGTGGCCAATAACATTAAATACAATGAATACACCTGGATAACCTAAATTAGTATGTTTAATGAATGAAATGATCAAAGAAAGAGGTGACTGACAGGAGCACGCTGTGATACAGGTACAGTCTGTACCTGTGTGTGTTACTCAAGCCCCGGCGATCCAAGATGGCGTCCTATTCAAATAACTGAATTGTGCTCGGTGGCACATATGCCACCTTCCATCCATCTATCCATTTTCTACCCCTTAATCCATTTCTGGGTCGGGGTGTGGCATTTTAAAGCAAGAAACAGCGCTTGCGGTAATCCCGGAAGTAACAATTACCACACATATCACATTTTAGAAAGCGTTTTCACAGGATCTGATTATGGAGATGTGTTGAGTACAAACATGGTTCACTCACCGTTGTGTTGAATTGTGAGAATGTTGAATGTGAGAATTTTCTGCTTGGTTTTCAAGTAGTTTTGTTAGAGTTCTTGTAGAGCTCAGCCGCAGTATACAGGATCTAGTATCATAATTGATGCGGAATTTGACCGAACTGAGATTTCAAAGTAGTTTCCTGTTTATGTACTCAGAATACTTTTTATTTTAATTCTTTCATGCAGAACTATGTTTCACTGTATCCCAAAGAAAATGTAACAATAAAGTTTATTTCTACTCAACATTTATCAACATTTGTGGACATTTGTCATCTGTGTTCTTCCCGCTCCCTCTGGACTCATGGCTTCTACTACAGTATACGTGTTTGTTATTATTGCATTTCCTGAGTTCGAACAGTTTGATTCTCTGATCTGTTTTTGGTTAATCGACAATGTTGTAAAGTCCTCTGAGACGATTGCGTTTGGGATTTAGGTCTGTGCTAGCCCGGCCTTCGCCATCCGCACACTCCGCTCAATCATAATTTCACTGCATGTAACGTCTGGGCCTGGTCCCTGGGTTAGCGATTACAATCGGTTGAATTTCGACCGACCTACCAGCGAGCGCGGAAGGCAGGTGTTGTAGTTAGTTGTGGGTGACGTCAAGAGTTTGCGTCGAACGGGAAGGTCGTAGTTTGGCAGTGGTGAAGAATGCGATAGTAAAGTATCAATCAATCAATCAATCAAAGTTCATTTGTAGAGCGCCTTTCATACACATGGCAACACAAAGCGCTTCACAGTCCACATCACAAATCATCACATAAAACAAACACCAGAATCACAATTAAAACATTAAAATCACACAAAAGATTAAAACACAATTAAAACATTAAAATCACACAAAAGAATAAAACCATTAAAACTTTCAAAATTACACAAGAAATTTAAAAAAATAAATAAATGACAGCAGTGCATTAAAAATGGAGATAAAATCCTTCAGTTGTATGCACAGGCAAACAGAACAGTCTTTAACCTGGATTTGAACATTGACAGAGTAGACGCCTCCCTCACATTTTCAGGGAGATTGTTCCAGATCTTAGCTGCATGGATCTGAAACGCAGCCTCCCCATGTTTGGTTCTCACTCTGGGCACCAGCAGGAGGCCAGTCCCTGTGCTCCTCAGAGTCCGGGCTGGTTCATATGACACCAACATGTCACTAATGTATTCTGGTGCAAGGCCATGGAGAGACTTGTACACAAGCAGAGCCGTTTTAAAATCTATTCTTTGAGCCACAGGAAGCCAGTGCAGAGACCTGAGGACCGGACTAATATGGTCATACTTCCTGGTTCCTGTCAGGACTCTAGCTGCTGCATTTTGGATGTACTGCAGCTGCTTACAGGTCTGTTTGGACAGACCTGTAAGCAGGCCATTGCAGTAGTCTAGCCTGCTGGAGACAAATGCATGGACAAGAATCTCCAAGTCTGCCCTGGACACTATATTTCTAACTTTGGCAATGTTCTTCAGATGGTAAAAAGCTGTTGATGTTATTGATTTTATGTGGCTATTGAAATTTAGGTCTGAGTAAAGTAATCCGGTCTGGTTCTATCAAGAAATTGTATCCGAAGCAAGAGGAATGTTTAGAAAATGTAATCGCTGGAAAAATTGTGCCGCTACTCCCCACGGGCTCTGTTAGCGGCAAAGGAGATGGCTAGGCTAAATGCTAAATGCTAACGACAGACTCGGGCGCGTTATATACGTCACGGTAAACTCAGATCCAATGGTTTCAATCTGCAAAAGGAGTTAACCCCTCCCACCTGTAAACGGAGCTCAATGGAGCACCTCCAGACCTTAGTATGAAATGTCATTTGTACTATGGTGTGGTACGACCAGGCTAGGTCTGTGCAAAAAGAAATTGAATTGAATTGAATGGAAGTAATTGAGAAGAAAATCGTAACTAATATAACTAATGGCAAGGCAAGTTTATTTGTATTGCACAGTTTATACACAAGGCAACTCAAAGTACATTAAAAAGAGTGATACAGAAGAAGATACAATCCCTCGGTTGTATACACCGCTAACATGTATTGATAATATTTTGAAATTATTTTCTAATTAATCACTTTCTTCCAACAAATCAAACTCATAATGCACTTTACCTTAATGACCTTTTTGGATTTCAGAGCCGGATATTGAAGTCTATAAAACCTGCGACACAAGCTCAACATTCAACACACTTTTCATTTCAGTTTTTGGGATTCTCCGAGCAGCGATGGCGTTCCATTTGTTTATCAAGAGCTGATAGGAGAAAGGCGTAATTCATCCCGGACTCATTG